CACAACACCTTACTTACTGCCTGGAGTACTCCTATGGAAACGAGCCGCCACAACGCCGATTCTGGCTCAAAATATCGCCTCTACTTCAACCTTCTGCACCAGAAGATTGCCGACTACTCAATTGAGCCGGCTCACACGTACAATATGGATGAGAAGGGCTTTGCTATTGGAGTCACGGGAAGGAGCAAAAGAGTGTTTGATAAGCTACTCTATAGTAAGAGGCAGTATAAGCAATCAACCCACAATGGCAATCGAGAGTGGGTGACAGTGCTGGCTACTATATGCGCCGATGGATCCCACCTGCCTCCAGGCATCATCTTTCCAGCTGCTGGAAACAACGTTCAGAGCAGCTGGGTACATGAAATTGAGGCTGGAAAACACTCTATCCACTTCACTACATCACCAAATGGATGGACCAATAACGACTTAGGATTGACATGGCTCCAGCAAGTGTTTGATCGCTACACCAAGCCAAAAGCTCGGAGAGAGTGGAGACTACTGATAATTGACGGCCACGGCAGCCATATAACGAAGGCCTTCATCGACTACTGTGACGCTAATAAGATACTACTTATGGTATTTCCACCTCACGCTACACATACTCTCCAGCCATTAGACGTTGTCTGCTTCAAGCCACTGGCTCAAAACTACTCAATTGAGCTGGATAACTACAACCAACGGAGCCAAGGCAGAGCACCTGTGAAGAAGAGCGACTTCTTCTCACTATTTTGGCCTGCCTGGGTGAAAACCTTCACTGAGACGCTCGTTTTGACAGCTTTCAGAGCCACAGGCATCTACCCACCAAACGCCGACGTCATACTCACTCGGTTCAAAACACCTACTCCTCCGCCTCCAGCAACACCTCCAGAGCAGTCTGCAGCAGCAGCTCTACCTACTGAGCCAAACTGGTTGAAAGCTAAGACGTTGCTGCGGAGTGTGGTGAAGGATAACGTTGGTGCAGGGGCATCGGGTTTGGAGCAGGTACTCCACCAGCTCCACGTCCAATTAGAGCTCACCCAGCACGAATTAAGAGGCGTACAAGATGCTCTTGCTGCTAAGGAGAGAGTCAAAAAGAAGAAGAAAGTACTGCCTCTATACTCTCACAACCTCAACCGGCACGGAGGAGCTACTTGGTGGAGTCCCTCATCAAAGAGAGAAGCTGACGCACGTGACGCTGCATTTGAGGACTATCAACACCAATTAGAGCTAGAAAAAGCTACCCAGAAGGAGCTACAACACAACCAGAAGCTACTACGAGAAAAGCAGCAGCAGCAGAAGCGTGAGGCACGGGCAAGGGAGAAGGTTGAGCGTGACCAGAGGCGCGCGGAGGAGCGCGCTCAAATCGATGCACGCAAAGCAGAGAGAGTGCGTCAAAAACGCAATAAAATTGAGGCCAGAAAAAGTAGTCAATTGCCTAATCGAGGCAAGTGCAAGGTCTCAAAATCTACTGCCTCCAAGAGGCAGAGGCGTGGTGCTGCTGCTGCTCGTAGTCGTGCAGTAGTACCCAGCGAGGCTCCAGTGGCTCCAACTACAACCACCCGCCGCGGCCGCACCTCAACGCTGCCAGCACGTTTTGTATGAGCAATAATCATTGCATAGGCCTGTAGATTAATCCACCAAAAAACCTGGCGATAATAACTAATGTATGTGGCTCTACAGCCTCATTTTTGTGAGGCCTATTGACTAGCCGAGGTGCGCGTTGCGAGAACATGCGCGTTGCGCGCACAGACACGGTATTGAGTATTCGGTACAGTATTGTTAGCCAACGCCAAGGCTGAGTCAATCAACTAAAGCTTACTAGGCTTGGTATGTAAACTTCAGATCCTCGGTACCTATCAGACCGATCCCTAAACGTGGGATGTCCCTACAACTCGGTCCCGTCAGTTCCCTGCATCTAACACAAACATCCTTCCCATTGACCATCATTCACCTTGTTAATGCATGTCTGAGCACCAGCTCTAACCCCATGGAAGGATATCCACGGAAGTACGGCCAACAGCGAGATCATCAGCTCCATTTCCACGGACTCTGAGGTCGTCTTTACAAAATCTCCGGCGGCAGTAATGATGGTTGGGCCGTGGATATTCGTGACTAAATGTTTTCTTCTTGTATCTGTTACGACCATAAGATTGTAATTACACTATTGACGTACATCATGATTCCAGCGGAGGATCCACAAGGATTCAAAGAGCAAATTCAATCTTTTCGAGTCCCCTGTATATCAAGGATCGTGTTTCAGCCTTTTTGTTGGTGGCTTCCACGGACTTGGGTCAGCACTTGTCCTCTTTGAGCGTTGGGAAGCACAAATTCGGTATAACAGCCGATACCATGCGGCTGTGCGGCACGGCTCGCACGGCCTCCACAGACCAGAAGATCGGAAAATGCTAGGATGTCATATATGGATATACACGTGGGTTTTCGGGCCTTGGATTGTTCGCCCATGTTTCAAGATCTTTCTGACCTGCTAGTTTGCGTAACGTCCCAGCGCAAGACCACCGTTGTACAATCTCCATTCAAGACCTGACCCGAGTATCAGTCTTGGTACTCCACTCCAATTAGGCATTCATTTGGTGGCGTTCTGAACCTTGTGTTATTGTAGACCGTCCGGAAGACTTTTGCACTTACATTGCGCTGACCTCGACCAGATGGTCCGAAAAGGCGTAAGACACTTTTTCTTGACTAGGCGGTCCTTGGTAGGCATCTTGGTCTGCTCACGATCAGACTTCACAACTTCGACTGGATGAACACCCACTGCTTCGCATCCGTTCCAGTCACTTCCTATTAGCGGTATAGTGAGGAACCCAGGGTTTACCTCCCGCAGACCAATTTTCGCATCTTGAAACGTGGCCCCGCCGACCGAGAAGCCATGCTCTACAGCAGAGGGCTCTGCTTGTTGTCCAGACAATTGGATCTGTCTTGACAATGGTCTGTGTCATTATCCGGTACACAATCTATATGAACGTTATAGTTGTACCGACAAAACCTGGAACTCACCAGGTTGCCCCTCAAATCTTTGTACCTATGGTATTGACCTTGATACCACTACTTTAACATTGTACTGACTTGAGACAGGTGGCCAAGCCAGTGGAGTCGAGTCGATAACCCAATGTTCGAATCACGATGAGGATTGGTGTTGCAATGCGGACGCGCAACATGTGAATTGTTGCCAGGAATCACCGGTGGCGCGACCTTTTTTCACGCTTAAAGACGGACAATCCTACGCCACGATTGGCATCGATCAAGCATCTTACGTGCCGACCCTTTCCACCGTTACTGGTATTGCGACAAGCGCTGGAATTGGAGAACGCCCAGAAACTTCACGGCTCACATCATCTGGTCAACCCTCAACTTCGAGCAGACCAATCTCAAGTAGTTCAAGCGCAACCAATACGACGCCAACGCAAGTAAGATCCGGAACTACCACCATTCGTTCCGGCTCCATAGGCGTAAAGACTGTCGTTATCGTCTCTCTATCAGCACCCTCATCAGTGACTACATCCAACTCTTCGAACCAAATGCCATCCAATGGTAGTTCAGGCTTACCGAAGACCGGTCTTATTGTAGGATGTGTTGTAGGAATCTTTCTCGGTCTCGCCATGCTGGGAATTCTCACATACATACTACACAAGCACCGCCAACAAAGGGCGCATCCTTACAGAAAAACAGCAGAATCAGCGAGCAATGGCACCTCAGCTATAGGAGCAAAGAAAGAAGAAAGGAACTGCCACTTCATCGCAGAGCTAGAAGGCCGGCCTTTCAGTTCCAGTCGCCCCGCTGCTACCATAAAATGCCTTGTAGAACTCGAATCTGGTACACAATTCCCACCCGGCGCACCAGCATCCTACGGCCCAAGTACCGTTGGTGTTGGTGTTGGTACTGGTAATGATCAGTCAACGTGGGGTAATGCACTACCTAGATATTCACCTGGAACGGACTCGTCTGCGTACAAATGCCACAACCCCAGCACTGCAGAACTGGGAGGCACCTCATCTACACCATATATTAAACAAAAGGTTGAGAGTTAGAAGCGCGTTGCAGATTGGTCGTCCAAAGTGTAGCGATGTGTACTGTGATATTGTTTGAGCAAGGTGGATGAGCTGGTTCATACTCGATATAGAATTCTAGTACATCTACAAGTATAGATAGCACATGCCTCACATCATCTTATGTACAGGCTCCCTCAGCGTGTTGTTGATGTCTCATGTCCAGATAGCAGTCGAGCAGGTACGTTAACGATATGTCGCCAATCATGGTCCAGCAGAAGCCCCAAATGCCGTAGTTTACAGCGAGAATAACTTGCGGGCGAGCCCCAAGCCGAACATCAGGATGCCGGCAGGGCATAAAAATAACGCCGTGAGTGATAGATGCAGTCGCGTTTCTGGTTCGAAAATGCCATTTTTGCGCCTGGATGCTTCTACAATGTACCAGTCGGTGAGTGATCCGGCTAGTATGGAAGCAAAGATGCAGCCAACGAAAGGTGCGATGTCCATTAGACTGATGCTCTGGACGCCGAAGTTGTAGGGCTCAGATAAAAAATACGTTGATAGCATCGTACTCATGGTGCAAAACCATGCAAGTTATGTGCCATACACAAGCGCCGTAAACATGACTGCAGGGAGTTGGACGAGGATGGCGAAGGGTTACCACATGTCGAGGAGCACAAAGGCGAAAAGAGTGTTGAACATTGCCAGCGTGAAATTGATCGCTTTGCACGGCTTCGACCAGTTGAGAGGACCGTTAGGACCTGTGGTTGGCGATGGAGAGAGAATGATTTTATTGTTGTGCAAATCCTCAATTCGCACGGTGCCTGGTGTCCAGTTGTCATTTTGAGCCCACGATATTGCGGCAGGTATAGAGATGAAGAGGAGCAAAGGTATTTGTGCATCGAAGGTTGAACGTACAGGTATCAGTAGCCCAGCTGGAGCATATTGCACAAATTTTGAACGTGCATGCTGTGCGGCCGGACCTATTTCCGTCTGGCATGTGTTGCGCCTGGTGGCTTGTCATGCAGGACTGGGCTTGTGAGGTACTATGAAACCTTGCTGATATATTTCTCTGCCTTATTTCTATGTTCAACTCACGCGTGATCTTGAAAATACAAATAATGGCAGAATTTTGATACGATAATCTGCTTTAGAAACCTTTGAACATTAGAGTGATCTGATGGCGACGGCTCTGGGCTTGCGACTCTGTATGCTCAGCGCCTGGTCATTAAAACCTCGAATATCGGTTATCGCCTTGACAACGGCTGAATACTGAAGCAGGTCGACAGTGTCGAGGATGAAGAAGCCATCTCTTGGAGTCGTCGAAATAACTTTAATAAATCTCTTGTGACGGTTAATGGAGTATAGAGGTCATGTGTGCCATGTGTGTTGGCGCAGTGCTCTTGCCCTTTCCAACAAGCCCTTTCTACCTCTATCTGAACGACAGATACGTCATGTAAACAGACCCTGATGGCCCGGTGAGAGAGACAGAACACTGAAAAAGAACAACAATATATACCGGTTTTACTGCTTTGCGCGGTTACCCCTGACTTACTGCCCTGCGCAGTTACACCTTCACTTATTGCACACCTGCAATGCTGTGTGTTCAGTCGTGTAGATCGCGAACGAGTGTCACCGCTGGCTCTCCAACTTGTATATGACTTTCGCCGTATTAAAGTACCCCTCGTACTCGACGTCTCCTCACAGCCATCCACGTCGCCATGGTAATCAACAACGTCGGACAGACAGCGGCGGGTAATCCAGCGACAATGTCAGGAGATCTCTGGGCGCGCCAGATCGGTCTCAATCTGTAACGGTACTGAAGATAATCGGTATTGGGCAATGGATATTGAGGTTCACTGAAGTTGTATTGTACTCAAGCTGTGTGTTTATATACTGTGAATGAACGGAAAGAAGAACTGACCATGAAGCTGTTATGTTACTGATACTGTTTGAAGGAGTCTGGTCCAGTTGGTCCTTTTACTCAACCTCATACAGTACTGTAACATGACCCCTTACTGTACTGCGACACAATCTTATCTCTGTGTACAGGGTTTGCCACCATGTCGTTCCGATCATGCAGAAGCAAGGCTCTGGCAAGTGATATATTGGCAAGCATCAGATCGCTTACGCAACTGCCAAAGCTGGTGTTAGTCGCTTTAACAAGGCACTTGGTGTTATGTATGGCAGAGAATCATTGGGTACAACTGTGTCGTCCCTGAGCTCATGTACACTCCGCTCGTCGACAACTTTGCGAAGAGTGAGGACTCCGGCGACCAAGTGGCTGCAAAGAGGATTCTGGGCCACAACATTCCAGTGGGATGGATGGGTACTGGCACCGATGTCGCTAATGCAGTTCTCTGGCTGACAAGTGGTTCGAGTCATTACGTAAATTCGCATGCGCTCGTTGTTGACGGAGGTAATACAGAAAGTACAGGAACTGGGTTCCGGTCATCGTAATTATGTGATTGTAAAATATCAGTGCAACCGTCTTGATACTTTATCCTTCCTCGTGAACCTCCCAAGCGCAAGTGAGCCAGGTGCGCGGTTGTGCTGCTATCGAACCAAAGGCGTCCAGCTTTTGAGATGAGCAATTTGGGTGCCTCGTAGCTTTGACAACTTTGTTCTCCGGAGGCAGCCTCCTTGCGTAATCGCGTGCATCTCGAAAGCAATGGCTGCAATGACATGAATCTATGTTGCAGCTGGCGACATAAGTTTGATGCACCGAGAGGAAAGAAGGTGCTAAACGCTCCACACCGAAAGGGGTTAGACCATCGGTTGAACAAAGCACCGACTTCCGCTCAACGACTCCGTGGGATTATCACGGAATTCTCACCCACCACTCAATCTTGGTCTTCCATCTCCTGGACCTCAACCTGCCCAAGTACACGAAACATGCGCAGCGAAGCGAGCTTCACGAAGGAACATCGAGGCTTCAGCGACTTACTAGATGAGGGCTTTTATGCGACGCTACAGACCTTATCTGTCGCTTTCCTCCGTCTTACCTTGCCCAAAGATTTGCGGCGCTGTATGTATTGCTCCACTTAGAGCTGCAACAAAAACCAGGGTCCTTCCACTTTCTGGGTCCTTCCGCCCCTCATCCCGCCTCCTTCATGGACATGCACTGTTCTGTATTGGAAAGGTGTTCTACGTTGCCTGCATCCTCCGTTAGCCCTCTGCAGAACTACGATATCTTGGTTAAAGCCTCATTACATTTCTGGCTGACACAGGTGGCCCACTCGGCCTTGCAATTGGGGGCCTTGTGCTCTGTGTAAAGACTGCAATCATGCGTATTCCTTGCTCATTGTGCTGGGCTCCTCTCAGGCTATTGCCCTTTTTTGATCCTTACCAAAGTGTCCTGTTGGTACACAGCACAGCCCTCCCGAGCAGCCTTTAGAACAACCGACTGAACACCTTGAAAGCCAAGAGTTGCGTGGCGAGATATGCTACCAAAGCGCTACATACGCTCCTACACCTTACAGAATTGGCTCGTGCTGATGGCGCTTATCCTAGGTTCGATACGAAGTCAAGCGCCCCATTCAATATGCTAACGCGCGTTGCAACGAGTGGGAGAGACTGCCGCTCTCCACTAACATTACGGCAATGCACGTTGAAGCCTCGTCTAGTTCAACGTATGCCATATGCAGGTTTGCGGGAGCTGCTGGACGAACACAAGGCACAAGGCTTTCGCAGCACCAGTACGACCTCCCGTAGACCTATCTTGGCCACAAGGTACGGTCCTACTAGGTCAATCCCCGTTTTGCCTCGGTCGTTTTGGCTATGCCCCGGAGGAAAACGTAGGTATGTTAGGTCTGCGAATCCAAGAGGGTTAAACCCAGTCAGTACCTCAGCTCTTGACCATTCAACCGGACGTACACGTCTATATCAAGTCCGGCAAGAGACTTAATTCAGCTCGTTATCGACTTTCATACTATAATATAACGACCGCCACCCAACCATGAGATTGCACTTGAATGATCGGCCAAATGAACCCATTGCGGTGATTGGTAGTGGATTTAGGTTTCCTGGGGGTACCGATACTTCAGCAAAGTTATGGGATTTGTTGCGTGAGCCTCGCGATGTGCGGAGTACCATTCCTGTAAATCGATTCAACCCAGATGGCTTTTTCCATTCAGCGAACGATCGACATGGAACTAGCAATACCCGCCATGGCTACTTTCTCAGTGAGGATCTCCGACAATTCGATGCTCAGTTCTTTGGTATCAAGCCTGTCGAAGCGAGCTCGATGGACCCCCAACAGCGGCTGCTGCTCGAAGTCATCTACGAGGGTATTGAAGCTGCTGGTCTGTCCATGGAAAATCTCCGTGGTTCAATGACAGCGGTATACATCGGTCTCATGGCTGTCGGCTACGGGGACTTGCTGAACCGCGACACGTCAGACTTCCCTCCTTACATGGCCGCGGGCACTGCTCGGAGCATGATCTCGGACCGCGTTTCGTACTTTTTTGACTGGCGAGGACCTTCCATGACTATCGACACGGCATGTTCCTCCAGCCTGGTAGCGGTGCACCAAGCAGTCCAGTCGCTCAGGTTAGGGGAGTCACAAGTAGCCGTAGCTGCTGGAGCAAACCTGCTTCTTGGCCCGGAGCAGTTTATAGCAGGAAGCAATATGAAGATGTTGTCACCGGACGGTCATTCGTACATGTGGGATACTCGGGCCAATGGCTACGCTCGCGGTGAGGGCGTTGCAGCTATCGTGCTCAAGACCTTGAAGGCGGCAATCGCAGACGGCGATGATATCGAGTGTGTCATTGTGGAGACTGGTCTGAACCAGGATGGTAAAACGAAGGGCATCACGGTGCCGAGCGCAGCAGCGCAAGCTACGTTGATCGAGACAACGTACAGGAAGGCGGGACTCGATCTGACGCAACCCTCCGGTCGACCGCAATATTTCGAGGCTCATGGCACCGGCACGCCCACAGGTGATCCTATAGAGGCCGAGGCGATACACAGTGCGTTCTTCAAGCACACCGAGACTCGTCAAGCCACGGATCACCTATATGTGGGTTCTATCAAGACGGTCATCGGCCATACTGAAGGCGCAGCTGGTCTGGCCGGCCTGATCAAAGCATCGTTGGCCTTGAAACATGGCATCATACCACCAAATCTTCTATTCGAGAATCTTGCACCTGCCGTCAAGCCTTTTTACGACAACCTTGAGATCACCACCACGGCCAAGCCATGGCCAGCTCTAGCGCAGACATCCGTACGGCGAGCTAGTGTAAACTCTTTCGTAAGTGATCAGGAATACGACCAGAGAATTGCACTGACTCTATGCAGGGCTTTGGGGGCGCAAATGCCCATTGCATTCTGGAGAGTTACTGCCATGAGGAGAGCGAACAAGACAGTTCACCTGTCGCGTATATTCCTTTTATGTTTTCGGCACCATCAGAAAAGGCTTTGTCAGCTGTGGTCGCGTCCTACTCAAATCACCTTAGATCTGAACCTTCAGTCGATCTTCGGGCTCTATCTCATACATTATGCACCAAGAGGAGTGTTTTCTCAGTCCGAGTGGCTTTCTCAGCTACAAACGTCGGAGACCTTTGCACAAAGCTCGATTCATTTCTTCAAGGTATGCAGATCAAGCCAATAGTCGCTGTATCAACTTATGCCCCCCCTCCGCGTATACTGGGCATCTTCACTGGCCAAGGAGCTCAGTGGGCAGGCATGGCAAGTAAATTGATGCGGTTTTCGGCAGCTGCGCAGCTCATTGAGGAACTTGAGCAAAGCCTGGCCGAGCTACAGGATGCACCCTTGTGGTCATTGAAAGCCGAGCTGTCTGCGAACAAGTCGTCCTCCCGGATCACGGACGCTGCCCTGGCACAACCAGCTTGTACGGCAGTGCAGATACTCTTGGTAAAACTGTTACGTGCTGCCGGCATTCACTTCTCTGCCGTCGTTGGTCACAGTTCTGGTGAGATCGCCGCTGCTTATGCTTCAGGTTACTTATCTGCGAGGGATGCGATACGGATTGCATACTACCGTGGTGTGCACCTACAATTGGTTGGCGGCAGGAATGGAGAGACTGGTGCCATGATGGCCATCGGAGCTTCGTTCGAGGAAGCGCAGAATATTTGCAGTTTGGACGAATTTCGTGGGAAGATCTGCGTTGCTGCAAGTAACTCCGCCTCTAGCGTTACGCTATCCGGCGATACCGCAGCCATAGAAAGCGCCAAGGCTATGTTCCAGGCGAAGAACAGGTTTGCGAGAGTTCTCAGAGTTGACAATGCGTGTAAGTGTTTGAATGAGCTATGTTATGAGAATGTGGCTAATGTGTTTCAGACCACTCACACCACATGATGCGTTGCTCGGAAGCCATCACAGCGTCTTTGCGTGCATGCAAGATTGCATCGCGCCGACCGAATCGCTCGAATTGTCTATGGGTTTCCAGTGTGTATCAGAGAGATATCACTATGGTCACAGAAAGCCTCGATGACCTTTACTGGCATAGCAACACAGTAAGCCCGGTGCTCTTCTCACAAGCACTTGATCACCTCCTGCAAAAGTCCAGCTTTGATCTTGCTGTGGAAGTCGGGGCCCACCCCGCTCTCAAAGGACCGGCTTCGCAGGTGATCGAGGGCGCCCTTGGTCATACTATCCCATACACTGCAATGTTGAGCCGCAACGAAGACGATATCGGAGCCTTCTCAGACGGCTTAGGCTACATATGGGCTAATCTCGGCGGTAACATCATTGACTTCGCAGGATATGACCGTACTCTGAACGCTTCTGAACCACCAAGGATGCTCAAAGGATTGCCCACATATCCCTGGGACCATCATAGAGCTTTTTGGCATGAGTCCAGGGCCTCGAATACGTTTCGCCTCCGACGTAGTCATCATCAGCTTCTCGGTATCAGAAACCCCGATTACTCTGGAGACCACATGTCATGGAAGAACTATCTTGTACCGAACGAGCTGTCGTGGGTTTCAGGCCATCGTATTCAAGGTCAGCTGATCTTTCCTGGTGCTGGCTACATATCATCAGCTTTCGAAGCCGCACGAGAGGTTGCGGCTGAACGACCAGTGAAGCTCATTGAGTTGACAAACTTCCTGTTCGGTCAGCCCTTGGTGTTTCACTCCGAAGACTCTCGCGTTGAAGTTGTTCTGTCATTGGCCGGTATGCGTCATCGCAACTCCACATTGACGGCGGAGTTCACCTACCACTCGATCGCTAATAAAGAGTGCGGTCCGATGTCACTCAATGCAAGTGGTCAACTGAACATTATCTTTGGTGATCCAGACGCCAACAGCCTGCGTCCGATTCCAGAGTCTCAGTTTGGCATGACGGAAGTCGACCCTGAAAGAATTTACAGTTCCTTCTTCAGCTGCGGGTATCATTACACTGGCGTTTTCAAAGCGTTGGTATCCGTGAAAAGAAAACTTGGCGTTGCCTCTGGTCTAGTCCAAGTCTCTGAGATGGCCCCCACGGGAAGACTCTTGGTTCATCCGGCAACTCTGGATGCGGCTATGCAGTCTTTACTCATCGCATACTGCTACCCTGGCGACGGCCGACTGACGTCCTTACCGCTACCGACTGGTGTGTCAAGAATCTCCATCAATCCAACTACATCCCTAAGCAGTTCATGTGAACGAAATTTGAGATTCGTATCGTATAGCAAAGATGATGGCAAGCGAACTGAGGGAGATGTAGACCTCTACCCTGCAGATGGTTCAAATGCAATGCTCCAGCTGGAAGGTCTACGCACAAAACCACTGGTCCCCGCCACGTCAGTGAACGATATCCAAATGTTCTCCGAGACTGTATGGGGCCCAGCTTCTCCAGTTTTAGGGAACACACTCAAAAACCATGAAGCCATCCGCTCCTGTCCTGATGAGTACATCCAGATAATGTCTGCTACAGCTAGGCAGATAAGTCACCGCTATCCAGCAATGAAAATTTTGGAGTAAGTATTCGAGCTGAGCATATAGTGCATCGCTGACTATGTGATCTTCAGGATTAGTGCGCGCGAGACGGGTGCGACCAAATTCTTCTTGACGGAGTTGGATGACGCTTTCGCCTCATACACATACACGGACATCTCTGACGAGTATCTTGATCAAGCCAGAACAGTCTACAAGGCGTACGACGACAGAATGATTTACAAGATTCTGGACAAAGAAAGCGATGTTGTTGACCAGGGCTACTCTGAGCACTCTTTCGACTTGGTAGTCGCGTTCTCGATCTCTCAAAAAGCCATCAAGCTTGATCGTACGATGAGGATTATCAGGCAACTGCTCAAGCCAGGCGGCTATCTTTTGTGTCAGCAGCCCATCAATATTGAACAAACGCGATCTGATTCAACCCTGAATACAGCCTCGGATTCACGCTCTAGTCATGACGGCGAACGCCCCCCCTCCCCTTTTGTGGACGTTCTGGAATGGATGCGGATAATCAAGAAACATGGCTTTGCAGACGGCAATTCGACGGTAGAGACGATGAGTTCTGATCCATTCCATCACAGTGTCAGACTCATTCAAGTGGTTGACAACCGTATCCAATTTCTTCGCGAGCCGTTAGTATCGACAGAAGGGCATTCGTGTTTTTCAGGTATCACTCTGGTGGGCGGTGCGAGCTCTGCCACGTCCGCTTGTATGAGCGATCTCACAGGAATTTTGCAAACTTACGGCGGCAAGATCACCCAAGCTGAAAAACTACAAAATTTAGTCGATGCCGACCTACACTTCGGCGGCGCCATCCTTCTGTTGCAAGATCACGACAAGCCTTTCTTCGAGGGCCTAGACTACAAGAACCTCAAAGGTCTGCAGAAACTTTTTGAGAAAAGCAAGAATGTGTTGTGGGTCACTTACGGCTACAAGTGCGGCTTGCCACATGCGAGAATGCTGGTGGCTTTTGCAAGATGCTTGCTCCAAGAGATGCCTCATGTTCGACTTCAGATATTGGACTTACCATCTTCAGGCGCCCTTGTTGCAACTTTGATCTCAAAACATCTCCTCAGGTTGCTGGTCACCGCTAGATGGGAAGAGCAAGGTCACCTCCATGACATACTCTGGTCCTTTGAGCCTGAAATTTCCCACGAGACTGGACAAAACTTCATTCCTCGAGTGAAACTCAGTAAGTCTCTGAACAGTCGCTATAACTCGGCTCGCCGCCTAATTACCGAATCCGTCGATCCAAGCTTGCTGCCCGTCGCCCTATCGGTTGAGGCTCAAACGTATGCTCTCAGATCGAAACATGGACTTGGTCTGGTGCAGACGCCAAATAGCGCCGATATCGTCACCATTCGTGTCACACACTCGCTTCTGAAAGCGGTCAAGATCGAAAGTTGCGGATTCTTCTACCTCCTCGTAGGTACAGACATTGCAACCCATGAGCAGGTTGTCGCACTGTCGAGCACGCTCTCTTCAGAGGTTGATGTGTATAAGGGCCTGGTCCGAGTTTGCTCTTTACCAAGGATCAAAACGATTGAATATATTCATACCCTGTTCTACGGTCTGATTTCTTATACGGCCCTTCGAGATCTCCATCCGGGCGACTCTCTACTCGTTCTAGAACCCGATAAAGACTTTGCTGCTGTTCTCGGAACCCTTGCTACTGCCCAAGGTATCCGGACGGTGTTCTATACGGCTTCACACGGTATGAATAACCAAATGACATGGAAGACTATACCATTCCGTGCTTCCAAACGGGACGTGAACGCCGCTCTTCCCCACAATCTGTCACGAGTAGTTTGTTGGCAGGACAACGATTGGTCCTGCAGAATCCTCCAGAACATACCCAGCGACATTCCAATCGATACATTGGGGTTCTATGTGGGTGTCGGGGGTTCACCTCTTCGAACTTGGGCAATGTCTGGGGCATCCGATATGTTCGACCGCATGCAGGATCAACTGGTTCTACTGACATCTAAAATTGAATCCAAGGTAAAAAGCACACTCTCGCTGGCGGACGTACACGGTTTTGACTCAGAGTCCAATGCAATGAGAGTGGTAGACTGGATGACTACCTCCAAGGTTCCAGTGACAGTTGAACCTGTTGATCAGCGTGCGCTCTTTCGCCGCGACAGGACATATTGGCTAGTGGGTCTCACGGGCGGCTTGGGTCTGTCACTATGTGAATGGATGATCTCAAGAGGTGCCAAAAACATCGTCCTTTCTAGTCGAAATCCTAAGATTGATCCTCGATGGCTTACGCACTTCGAATCATTGGACGCAACAGTCAGGGTCTATGCCAATGACATAACAGACCACGAATCTGTCAAGTCAATCTACAGCGAGATCACAAGAGACATGCCACCAGTCGCGGGAGTGTGCCATGGCGCAATGGTTATTCAGGATGCGCTGGTCCAAGATCTTGACATGTCACGGGTGGAGAAGGTGTTGAAGCCCAAAGTCAACGGCGCAATTCACCTCGATGAGGTCTTTCAACATCAGACGCTCGATTTTTTCGTCATGCTTTCTTCTATCGCAGCCATCACAGGCAATCCGGGTCAAGCAGCGTACGCTGCCGCTAACGGATTTTTAGCCGGACTAGCTACTCAACGAAGGTTGCGCGGCCTGCCTGCTTCAACAGTTAACCTTGGTGCGATTTTGGGTAATGGGTATGCCACGCGGGGACTCACGCTTGCTCAGCAAGTAACGCTGCAAAAGGCTGGCGTCATGTGGACGTCAGAACAAGACTTCCATTCCGCATTTGCTGAGGCGGTTGTAGCAAGTTCGCCACATGCCAGTGCAAGTGGCGAATTTACCACGGGGGTGCGCATTTGTTACGCCGATGAGGATCACAAGCCAAAGCATGCGAGTAGTCCTATCTTCTCGCATCTTGTGTTGCAGAGGAATGTCTCTACGCGATCCATAATTGCGAACGAACCGGTCACGTCGGTCAAGTCTCAGCTACTCCACGTCACGACTGTGCAGGCAACAATCCATATTCTGGAGGGTATGTTGCTTACCAATAGATGCTTGGAAGACCATACTGATCTTCACCAGGCTTTTTGACTTCGAAGCTTCGAAAAGCACTTCAGATGTCCCCAGATGCCGACGTAATCAACCAAACTGCCGATAGTTTGGGTATCGACTCCCTTGTCGCCGTCGAGATGAGATCGTGGTTGATGAAGGAGCTCAACGTTGATATGCCGGTGTTGAAGATCATCGGCGGTGGCACGATGCGTGAGGTTCTGGGAACAGCTCTGGAGCTACTGATCCTGCCATGACGCAGGCACTCAAAGCGCTCGATCAAAACGGACCTGCTGGGACGCAAGTACCAAAGGCTCAACGCATCGTCGAGCCAACAGTGACTCATGCCGCATCAGTCCCTGTCTCGGCTGCGCAGATATCGCACACCGAAACAAATGCTGCGCCAGCCTCGACGTTCTGCAGCAGAAGGGCAGCGCGCCCTAACCCTGAGAATGGCGTCACATCATCCACAGAGGCGCTCGCAACTGCGCTGCAGACTCATTCTGAGTGCACTGACTGGGAAACTGTGCGCATTGCCAAAGCGCTGCTGGGAGCCTCCGCACCGGAGACGGAGCAGAGTCACCACGCTGCTCAAGATGCTTTGCCAATTGTGACAGAGGCCAAAGCCCCCACGAAGGATTTTGTGAGTGTTTTGGATCCTGATACCTTAACTTCAACAGCTAGCAACGAGGCTGATAGGCATGAGTGGAGCTCACGGCATAATTGCAAGACTAGTGTCATAGCCGCGCGTACTGTGTCGGATACATCTCTACAGCCAAGTACAGCCTCTCCTCGTAGAGGCCTCCTTCGTCGCATCTTGCAGGTACACCGTTTTACCCAGTTTCGTTATGTCAGACGGAATGCTTCTTGAGAATTGACCAAATAGGGCTTAACAGCTAGAAGCTAAGCGAGGGGTCAAAATGTGACGGTTTATGGAGTGAAGAAGTCATGCCCGCCACGTGTGCTGGTGCAGTGCTCTTGCCTGTCCCAACAGCACTTTCTAGCTGCACGACAGATACGTCATGTAAACAGACCCTGATGACTGCCGGGTGAGAGACAATTACAGAACAACACAACAGAATATACCGATTTTACTGCTTCGCGCGGTTACCCCTGACTTACTGCCCTGCGCGGTTACACTTTCACTTATTGCATTTACTGCAACACAAAAGGTCTTTACCCCGCAGAACACTCGAGCGGAGAGGTGCTACATATAATATGGCATGATGACAGCGCAAATCTAGAAAGCTCTATAGACACCGGAGACAATGGTTAGATAATCCGCAAGGATTGGTGCATGTACAGGAATTCTGCTTTTGTTTGCAGTGGGGCGCAGTGGAAAAACTTTAATGCTTGCGATTACAAGCAAAGCCGCTGATAAGAAGGGCCTGTGATAAATAGTGGGAATCAAACCATAATCACGGGCTAGGTTTGTCGGAACATACTTAGATATTACGAGCGTGACAATTGATGAGGGGTTTGACTATTGCTTTGTACTGCTATCACGTGGCTACAAAGCACGCTATGCTTTTGCCAAAGCTTACTTCCACATAATTGTTCCAACAAACAACTAATGCACCAAGCTCTGCTAATCATCTAGCCATTGTCTCCGTTGTCTGTAGAGCTTTCTACGTTTGCAAGCAATTCCTTCATTATTGCTGAAATGTTTGCGTGTCCGTACTATAAAACAAGCTCCTCCAATCCTGCCAGTAACTTCCTTATAGCCAGAATCAATCTTCTTGCTGCTCTCTTCGCCTATTGAGCGACATGGAATCAAACCCGTCTGGTCTGGCCAGCCAGGCTCTCCTTAACAAAATCGATCAGCTGCGGGAGCTCAACGTCAAATCGATAGAGCTGCCCCAGGTTTGTGCATGATGGATGCAGGAAGCACTATACTAACTATGCATAGCTTGTCGTTCTTGGAGATCAGTCTTCAGGAAAGAGCTCAGTCCTTGAGAGCCTCACCGGATTTTCCTTTCCACAAGCTCCTGGTCTCTGCACCCGATATGCCACCCAGATCTCCTGTCGTCGCGAACCCGAGGAGTATGTCGCTGTGTCCATCATCCCCCAACATGGTGCAGATGCAGCGACCGAGAACCGACTTCGAGCCTTCAAGCACAATATCTCCACACTTACCAATGAGGCCCTTGTTCAGATCATACAGGATGCGAACAAGGTGATGGGGATTCGCATGACCGCTGATGACACCGACCCCAGCCTGCACACCTTCAGCAATGATACCCTCAAAATCGAAATCTGCGGACTGGAACAAAAACATTTCACAGTTATCGATGTGCCTGGCATCTTCCGGGTCTCTTCGCCGCCCTTCACTACTGATCACGATGTGGACCTCGTCCGCAGCATGGTCGAGTCCCACATTCAGAACAGCCGAACCATCATCCTCGTAGTCCTACCATCCAATGTCGACATTACAACCCAAGAGATACTAAAGATGGCAGAGAAGGCTGATCCTGGTGGTATGCAAACGATGGGAGTACTTACCAAACCTGACCTGGTAACTGAGGTGGTCACTCAGAAAGCGATCAAAGATCTCATCCTAGGAAAAGGGAAACAACTGCGACTGGGTTACTGTGTTGTAAACAATCGCAGCGCGGATGATGAGCAGTCTACTGTGTCTGATTGACTTGCTCAAGAGAAAGCTTTCTTTGCTAAACCTGTCTGGCGCGAGATAGCGGATTCGGGCAGGTGCGGGATCGAATCGCTCAAAATTCGCCTCAGCGACCTCCTTATGAACATTACAAAGAAGGAGTTTCCCCATGTCAAGGCCGATGTTGCGAAACAACTGGAACATCGTCGAAGCGAGCTGGAGAGGATGGGACCGTCTCGGACTGAGCAGAGCGCTCAGAGTATGTATCTTGGGAGACTGGGATCCAAGTTTCAGGCAGTCACCCAGTGCGCATTGAACGGCTACTACGACAGCGAGGCAATTTTCACAGAAGCACCTAACATGAAACTGATCACAGCTGTTACAAAGATGAACGAAAAGTTTTCAGATACATTCTGGAAAAAAGGCCACAAGCGACACACTTCATCTGACTGGAATGATGAAGGTGAGGCCGCACACGCTCTAGCTGAAAACGACGATGCCGATTTCGCCCAGGATCTCCTAAAGCTTTACCCAGAGCTTCACGACATCGTTGAGACGGACAGCTATGAGTGCCCGAAACCAAAAGCGTTCAATAATGATTTCATCATGGATCACATTGAGGAGGTTTACCAACTGAACCGTGGTCCAGAGCTAGGAACCGTAAGAACACCCAATCTGTGTTAGCGTGCGCTTACTGACAACATTGTTGTATAGTTCTCCAGCTCTATTCTTTCTGCCACGTTCAGGGAACAGTCTGAGAAGTTCGAGCCACTTGTGCTCACGCATGTCAGCAGGTCCATCGGGCTTGTGCATGATTACATCTCCAATCTAATCACTCGTATCTGTCGAGATAAGCAGGTTCGGGATCAGCTGTGGGAGTTGATTTTAGTGGACGCACTCTGTAAAACGTACGTCCGAGCGATAGAGCAAGCCCGCTTTATGTTGCGTATCGAACGACATGGTCGACCATCCACGTACAACCACTACTTCAGCTCAGAAGTCCAGAAAAAGAGGCAGGATCGCATCAAGGAGATTACTGAGGCGGCACGCTACACTACCAGCAAAGGCGTCGAACTTGTTCCTATGGCAACTCTCCACAATATGGTCGTGAATAAGGAAAATGCACAACAGATACGAGAGGATATACTCGATGTTCTCACCAGCTACTACAAGGTATCCAGAAAACGCTTTGTCAATAATGTATGCAGACAGGTCATCGGTCACTTTCTACTAGAGGGAGACGAGAGCCCACTGAAAATCTTCAGTTCGGAGCTGGTAATGGGCCTTGAAGATGACCAGCTTGAGTTGATCGCGGGAGAAGATGCAGAGACAAGGAACCAGCGATTCTTACTGAATCGGGACTCAGCACCGCAGCAACATCACCTTGCAACAAGAGTAACTCAACAATCACAACTCAGATTGCAATTCTGAGAAGTGAGTTCGACTCGCAATGCTTTTCTCTATAGATGCAGACCTTAAACAAGAAAATTTATCTCTTAAAGTTGGTCTAACCCTTGCCCCAAAACCTATCTTTATGTTCTTCTCTATATGAATTATTTCATACCATGGGCAAGATACTCCTGATTATTTGAGTAGGTTTCTGTCTCGTTGTAGAACCATGGTTCGTCCGGCATCTCGTTTTCCTCTTTGGAGATCAGGAGCGGATGGCCCTTATAGTCCAGCCGAAGACCCGGATAAATGAAGCTTCGCCACATGTAAAGGAATATGTTCGAGATCTCCAGGCTCGGCGCGATGTGAGGTGCGATAAGCTCCTGATGCTTCTGCGGCAGGGTGGACCAGTGTAGCCCGGGGTGCAGATGATGAACGGTATGATAACCGTTGTTGAAGCACAAGTAATTGAGCGCCTGACCAGTAAAATTGCGCGCAAAGTTGTATTTGGAGCTCATATCGCACCCATCGTGTTGGAGAAAGTTCAACGAGAGGATGCAGTATTTGGCGTAAAATTGTGGCAGCAGTGCAAACCAGATCCATCGACGCCAATCTAGTAGAACAAGCACTGCTGTGGCGCTCCAAACAGCAACCTCTTCAAGCCGGCGCTGCTTCACAATAGGTCGGTTGAGACGGGCTTGAGCCTCAAAATACAGCTTGTCATCCGTGTTTCCCGACAAAACAACGTGCCAAAAGAAGAGTAGACCGTTCAAGAGGTTCCAGTTATATCGAACTTTGGTAGTACGCACTGTGTAATAGGATAGAGAATTAGCGCTGTGGAAGGCGTGGAGATTGAGTTTTCAATGCTGATATTTACAATACATGACTGTTGACTCGGCAAGGCAAGGGAGATTGAAAAGAACAGAAGTGAAGAACTTACTAACGTCTCTTGCTTGTTGAGGATACTTGTGGTGAGACAAGTTGTGGCCTGGTATAAAGATGGACACAGCACCACCGTACTGTAGAGACAAGCAAATCTGGTAGAACTTGTTCCAGTTCTTATCCCAAAAGATGGGCAAGTGAATAGCATTATGCGTTGTTACAGCGCCCATGAAGGATAGCTTAAACAGCGAGAGCCATGCTATAAAGGAAAGTAAGCCACCTGTAAATGGCGATGTGAAGGTTTGCCAAGTGATGACGAAGATGGCGAAAAATAGTACCGTGGATATGATACACCGAATATCCTCATCATGTCTCATCAGCGACTTGCTGTGGGACCGTGCTGGAGATGGCAGCTGTGAGAGCGCCTGGATCGATTGTATGCCTGCCATTGTTTCGGCCATTTTGCTGGGAAGAACTGGGATAGCCGTTGCGTATGAGAATAACGGTTGAATTTGCGAGTAAGGTCTAAGAGCCAGAGGATCTTTCGCGCTGGGGCTGAATAATCAGCGCTTTGCTGTGGCGTGACCAATTTATATTGATATTATTGGACATGCTAGGATGTCACGTGCAAGCGGGGATAATTGTCGCGTACCATGGAAGACCGAGTCGCGAACGGAAAAGCCTTAAATTAATTTAAATGGGGACCTTGCCGAAGTAAGCTACATACGCATACGAATACGCGTATAAATGTCTCATCTAGACAGCCTTTAAGGGGCAAAATCTACTAATCCAAAAATACAACAACGTGTTTCATCAAATGCGAGTGTCAGTAAGATGTAGGAAGCTTCTGCGGGGGCTTGAAACCTACAAGAAGGGCTGCTATTGACTCATGAGTTTCTACAATCCAGGTCATAGCCACTTTCACCCCGCAGAGTATTTTACTTGAACGTGGAGACACCAACATCGATTGATGTTAAGTATAGGGGCTGACAGGGCGTTTAAGGCTCAAGCGGGAGGCACGGATGTTTAGCGTTATGCCAGATTAGGACAACACGTATTGCGATCTGCATGGTCAAATTGCGCTATACCTGTACTGGTTGAATTGCATCGCCGCTTGCAAAGCACTAGGCCAGCTCGCAAAGCATCATATACGAGGATGCTGAGACGCTTGACGAGCCAAGCAAGCGGGAGCTACTCAGACATGTACAGATGATGGCGAAAGCCACGAGAGTAGCCTTTGCCGAGCGGTCTCTTTTGCAGGACCACAACCGGTTCTTGTCGAAGATCAACGGCGAGGCCAAAGCACGGCGATCGACCAAGTCGCTGGTGCTGAGCAAGGCGATGGTGATGACCTACGAACAGCTGGAGGAGTCACGAGCGAAGCGTGCTGCGGACGCTGAAGCCGCTGCAAATAAAGCAAGGCGCAGGCGCAAACACAAGGGTTCTGCGCTAAAGGGAGGTGCGCAGAACGGCCATGGGTCAGAAGTCTGGAAGGCGCCAGTAGCGCGGATGGTCGCAGCGGACTGGTCTTGATGCCTTGAGATCCAGTGGGAAGGCTTGATTGATACAACGAGTCGCGCAGTTGTTGACATTGCTAGCTGGGCGTCGCTGCAAGATACATTGCAGTTACAATTAATCTTTCCATGACCATGTTTCGTTCTCCGCCTCAGGCTTGCCATCTCAGCCTCCTAAGCCAACAACATGGCCGACACCGCCAACCTTTGCTCGCAACATCGTCGCGCTCTGCTATTGCATAGTAGGCCTGCTAGAGGCTATGCAGCTTTTCGCGCGTCGTCCTCTGCTTGCTGACATACGAACGCAATAGAGCAACGGGGCGTCGCGTCAGGTCTCTCGACTCTCGCTGCTATCGCACACGCCCACTACATGTCCACACGAAACGATGCGGCTCTTGTACCACGGAGAAGATGGAAAGCTCAGCATTACTGTCGACTTGGTCGACGCCGACACGATACCCCCTTGTGCTTTAACGCGCGTATCTATCTACACAAAGCATAAGCATTGGTTGGTCAGTAAAATGTAGGAGATACTCACGTAGGCGCGCTTGTTGGGTTGAAAATGGTGTAACGTTTTGTAAGCGCCTGGTTTGGGGTTATCAAGGGTTTTAAGCAACACAGGTACGCGCACAGCTCTATGCTTTAAGTCATAGGAATATCCAGCATCGGCTCATGGTTCAACGTAAGAGTCGATCTGATATAAGCGGCTGGGCTCAAAATCCGGTCAGGATCCGGCGCTGTTCGCTTCTCAAAAGCTCGAAAGCATTGATGACCCCGACGACTTCCTTATCTAGCGCGTATCGTTGAGAAGGATACGTTCCCTCGGATATCTTATGCGCCTTGATGTTTCTCCTAGTACCTGAGTGTACTGCAAGTCGAAGGCTCTTGCAGATACCCTCACCTGGGTAAGCAACGATGCTAACAGTTGCAGAAGCCGTTTTTGATGTTAACCCTAATATACCTTTACCAAGGCCTTTCGCCAAGCCCAACGCGCCGTCTTTTGTTGAACTGGTCGTACGAAAAGATCGTTAAAGCCATCGACCATGCCGAATGCGAAGTTTTTCCCAGCTTTGCTAAAACCGCTCTGGATGTTTGTCACTTGGCCGTGATCCCTGACTTCTTCCCCATATAGCTTGGGAACCGCTCGCAGTCCTTCAGCTGCGGCTAATGGTATATCGACAATAGCGCCTTTGAAGATGGCTCCGTATAACCGACCAAAACCTTTTGCGCCAGCGGCAGTCATCCGGCCCGCAGTTGCTGCGCCGTGTGCCGCATTGCTTGTTCCCTCGCTTTTTGTGCGCTTCAGTTCTTTGTAGGGATCACACAGCATGCCTGTAGTAGCTTTGCCCATATTACCGACAATCGACAGGCCTACAGAACTCATACTCGTGACAGAATTCCAACGGCGGTTTGTGATGTGAATGGGTTGGGTTTCGTAGCTTCGAGGATCAGTTATCGTTCACTTAGATATTATTGCGGATGAACTTGCTGGCTAAGATCGTTGTACGATATCACTCCTTCCTCGACCAGAATATGCGCCGCAAGTTTGGAAAGTCGAATTGAGGCCTTTTTGTAGAGCCACGTGGCTGGCAGGTCATGAATAATGTTGCATCTTATACTCTCGAACGGCAGGTTCGCATGATAAGAATGGACAGCAGCATTGACGCCCTGCTTGTTCGCCATTTGCAAGGAAAGGCTCTTAGCTGCCGTTTGGGTCTGTGGAGCAAGAAGGATCTGGATCGCGTCGACCAGATATTTTGACTGGACAGCGTGTTATGTGGTATGGGGTTCGGTCCGGCGCCAGCTTTAGCGATCATCTCTCCTCAGAAGGGCTGATCGCCAAAGAAGGGCACTACAAGGGTTGGGCATGCATACTTTAGTCCGCAAGCAGCTGTCCCGGCTCCACCATGATGGATTACAGCAGCGACGTGTTGGAACAACCATTCGTGATCACAGTCACCGATGAACAAGACATCACCTGCTTGCTCTGGATGACCACCGCCTAAGTTGCTCCAGCCCTTAGATATGATTGCTCGGACACTGCAGAGTTGCACAGCCTCTATGAGTAGTGAGGTCACCTTCGCTGAATCTTCCAAGACGATGCTGCCGAAGCCGATGTAGATAGGAGGTGGACCAGTTCTGAAAAATTCCGCAATTATTGTCGGTGGGTCGTAGGGAGGTGGGTCGCGGAAGAAGAAGCCGCAAACGTCGATATGAGAACACCAATCTGCAGGTTTAGGAACAAGGGCCGGCGACCAGCAGTAGGTGAAAGGGAATTCCAGCGCCTCCGCCAGCACAGGTCCGACACTGGTAGGTACGGGCTCGAGGTCCAGTGTATCCCTTCTGAACTTATTGATAACGTCCCCTAGGCCTTGCCATGTTAGAAACTCCACGATGCCGTATGAAGCGTAGTTGACAAGGGCTGGATCGATCTCTCCCACTTTAATATTTGCTAGCGGGTGAGGAAATGCTTTTGTGCTGCTCCATGGCATAGTGAACATCATGTGGAGCGGAACCCCAAGCGCCTGTGCACAGTGGATGTGGGCGAAGCTGGGAGGATTTGCGATGATGGCGTCGGCAACAAATGGCTCTTGGGAATCAACGTCTGCTTCCACGCATGATTTCCAGCACCTTTTGAGGATTTCCGTTATCATGACGCGTTTCTTCTTGATATCGCCTTCACGTAAGCTCTTCACTGTTGGAATCAGACGGGGGTTCTTGACCATGTAAGCCATCAGCTCTTTAGATTCACCGCCGATTGGATAAAATCCCAGGTTTGACTTCTTGACAAACCCCACGAACACATCAAGCGTCGCTAACCGAACGCGATGGCCGTATTTTTGGAGTTCTTGACCTAATGCGACGAATGGTTGGATATCCCCGCGACTACCCACAACTTGGATGACAATGTTCATGCGTACGCTCCATCCTCGTTGTACAGTGAAGCGTCGGCTAGGCTCGAACGGGTCTCTGCTCTTATCAGAAACAAGGCTGACAAGTGTCTTGGTGAGTCGTGCATGAAGGTCGATCTTGTTGCAGTAAATGCAATAAGTGAAGGTGTAACCGCGCAGGGCAGTAAGTCAGGGGTAACCGCGCAAAGCAGTAAAATCGGTATATCCTCTGTTGTGTTGTTCAGTGTTCTGTCACTCTCGACCCCAAGCGGGGTCTGTTTACATGACGTATGTATCTCGTGCAGTCAAGAGCAGGAGGTGCTTGTTGGAAAGAGCAAGAGCACCAACACACGTGGCACACATGACCTCCATACTCCATAAACCATCACAGATCTCGAAACGGCCGTCATCTCGACAAAGAAGTCAGTCAAGCTCGTGCAAAGGGAAGGCATGCCCACATGTGACGCCGCTATCGCCTGGTGAAGGTATCAAGTCTTCGCCAGCATCCAGCTCGAAGAGCGACCTGGATGCGCTAGAAAGAGCAAGGCTGCTACTCGAGTTCGACGCGTCAGTTAAAGATGGCCTGTGATGAGTGTGTGTTTGGTTCGGCTCTGCGCTGCCACATATATGTCTTGAGGTTGCCGAAATTTCTAGATTGTAAGGTGGCGAAGCTGCTTCTGCAGGCGTTCTGTTGTCGTACTCTTCCCATACCGGAATCGGCGCTTGCGTGCTGTCTGGTCGTAACACCCTGTCAAGATTTTGGGCTATCTTTTTACAAGCGAGGATTTATGGCAGGTACTGAGTTATATAATGGCGTTCTCAAGTTGTCCGGCTATCGGACCGGATACGCGTATGCACAAGCCACGATGATGCATTCCATGCAGCGGACCGGGCCCTGCGTCTGGACACTTGTGCAATGCTGATACAGGATCCGGCAATGACGATCACAGCTGAGCTAGAAGGCATGATGTTTAGCGCGGTCCTTTAAGCACACTTGTCGCAGCTTTGTTGAGGCCATGAAGGAGCTGACTGCCACAAAGCTACGATTGTACAAATGCGACCAACTTCGTAGCCAGTTCTACGCTAGGCCCCGCTTCTAGAGACGTCTGAGTATTTTTTTTCTAGAAATACGGTCAAGGTTACCGCATCCATACAGCGGTTTGCTTCGGAGTTTGGATGATCTGCAAGCGTTACCATCTTAGACGCCATCACACTTGGGATCAATCAAATCGAACCAAATCCTTGCTTGGAGTTGATTTGATTTGCCAATCAGTGACGTGAGATTTGATTTGGAGTTGATTTGGAGGGTTGAGAATTGATTTGTTTGATGGATTTGCAAATATATTTGTTGTTGTATGCTAAAATTTCATTTTGGATTGTGATTACTGAGTAGAATTGTCCCATTCGCATAGACTATACAACCTGTCAATAACTTCGTCTGATAATACTGTTGTATTGACCTCGTTGACGTCACCCATCAAACCTTCTCCCATCCATCTCCGCACACACTGTAGAGCTGCTAGTAGTTGAGCTCCAATTTGACGACGTTTTGGCTGCAATAGATCACCAAGTGTCAGGGGGCGGGGTTGCATCCGGACAGAACGGTGTTTTGGACAGTAGTAGCAGCATAGATTTACAAGACGTAGCTCTAAAGAGCTACGTAGCGGGACAACTACGGTTCCTCAAATACAGAAGGCTCGCTTAACGGGGTTATAAAGGATGTTGCCAGAGCTCACGTGTAGCTCACTGAAAAGTCGCTCACATTCGCAGCTGGAGGCAGGTATAGTCATTATATCAAGCGCCAACTGCGCCAATAGTGGGTATTTGCCACGGAAACTGAGCCAGTAATGTACTGGATTTCCTTGTGTATCAAACTCCTTGCGGCTCCAACGCGGCTCGTTAGCACACCAGCGCTCATATTCATCAGTATAGTCATCCTTGCCATCGCTCTCCGCATCAATTATAGTGTTGATAGCATCATCCAGCACGTTTGTTGGTGTATAGGCAGGCCTCAGTGGCTTGTGGGGAGCCGGGCGTTGGTTATAGAGGCGCCAAAGTTGCTGGAAAGCAGCGTCAGCAGCCGCCAATTGAGCTGGATTGCTGGCCCAAGCTAGTTTGCAGTAGTTGCGATAGCGGGGATGGAAGACGACTGCAGCATAATAGACGGGGGAGTCGCTGAGTTTGTTATAGTATAGCTTCAATTTTGTGAGCGCGGCGCGCAAATTGATGGTGATGTGGTCCTCTGGCGCGTCAGGTTGCTCAAAATCAACGCTTGTATATGGCAATAGACGGTCTTCAAAGACGTTTATCAGCTGCTCAAACGTGGGGATAACCTCATATATAGCACCAAAACGACCGTTGAGCTTGTGTTGTTTCTTCCCGCGCCCCTCCAGTCGCTCAGTAGCTATCTTCAGCTGCTTCAGTATATCCACGTACTCAGTTATCACTGCCCAGTCTGCTGTAATGGATGAGCGCCCTGCCCTCGATATCAATACTACGTGACATCTCCAAGTTATACCAAAAGGTAAGCACAAGAATACTTAAGCGAGTATTCTTTGTGTAGTATAATATATATAGTGCCAGCCAGCTAGCTTTGCCTCTAGCTGCTGTAAGCTAGTCTGCCCCACAGCCTTGCTGTGTGCAGAGTCGTTACATCTGCTGCTGATAGACCGTCTGATCGCATCCACGCTGCTGCGATTGGCAGCTTGTTGTTGTGCTCACGGGCGTACGCGTCGGCGTCAGCTTGTTTCTTGATGATGTGGTTGGAGTATTGGGTGATAGGTTGTTGGAGTAGAAGCCCGCGCTCAAATGAAGCGCAGTAGCTATTCCAGCGTGTGACGCAAGCTTTGACAACAGCTAATAGCAAGCTATCGTTGTTGGTAGGGTCTTCAGTGTGCGCAAGGTGTTGAAAATGGGCGAAGCTGGAGTGCTGTTTTGGCGTACTGATGTGGTTGACAATATCTAGAAACACTCCGAGTGGACCTCGCCGTCGCCAGTCAGCCATAAGCTGCTCCTCCTCTTTCTCATAGCGCACGCCATTATCGTAGGCATCTTTATCCTTGCCAAACATCACAGTTTGGCCGACCAAGTTGATAATATGGGGACCACAGCGGAGGCGGCGCCAAGCGGCAGTAAATCTGTGCCGGCGAGCCAAGTACTCCACTGCCACATTGTTGCTTGACGCATTATCCAACACAAAGTAACCCAGCTGCTTTGCCGTTATATCAAATGATATAAGCGCTTTGTCAACACACTCCCCAACTACTTTGCCACTATGGATGCCTGTAAGCTGCGGCAGCGCGATAGGCAAGTCCATAATCCTCCCCTCAGCGGTAACATAGTACGCAACAACACCAAAGAAGCCACGTTTGCCGCCTTTAGTAGTCCAGCCGTCGAAGTTTATGTGTGTTTTACTAACTGCAGCAGCAAGCTCAGCTTTGATGATTGGTTTCATGTGATCGTACAGTCTCATTACGAACCTGGAGACACTGCGATGGGTACCCCATAGCGCTTCTTCTGCAGCAGGATTGGCGTATCGCAGCATATTCCGGAAGCTCTCAGTCTCAAACTCGCGCAGCAGGTGGTTGTTTTCGACAAGCCACGTCACAGCTGCAAGCCGAAATCCTTGTACGTCAAAGTCACTCAGCTCATTAGCAACCTCTTGGTTGACAACTACACCCTTCTTCAACGCGTCCGCTATTGTCAACTGACCCCCAGGCAGCGGTGGCAGCTTCTTCCCCTGCCTTGTTATGCGGTGGCCGCGCCGATCCATACCAAGGTGCTTTGCCGCTGAGCTTGTAGCTGACGATACCTCCACAACACCGCTATCAACAGTGTTTTGGTGGCACCAGCGGCATACAAAGAAGGTACGCTCAGGCTTATCCGCGTTGTCAGCGCTCCTCAGCAGCGCAACGCGGTAGCCGTGGTTGAAGATCCAGCTCTTCTTGCCCGTTAGAGTGCGCTTTGGCTTACAATATTGGCGCAGTTTACTCCAGTTGATGCCATTGTAGTTATCAGCAAAGCGCACGTCGAAGCGGCTGCCCAACTCATCCTCGCTACCATCTTGCGCCTCATCCGCCAAAGCCACCGTGGCTGCCTTTGATGCTGCCATTGGCGCTGCAATCGCTGGCTGCAACTCTATTATTTGCAGCTCTCATGGCCGCTCTGGCCCTATAACAGCGCCATCAAGCGGGTTGATGGCAGCTTCAGCAGTCTCCAATAACGGCGATAGCGACGGCAGCGCAGCGAGTTGCATTTCGGGTAGCTTTATTGGCTGGCTGGCAGTGCCACAAGGCAGCTCATCGCCCTCTCTGGCCTTTTGTGTGAGGATTTGGCGATGTTTAGGGCATATATTGGCACGTGGCTTGCTATCAATGGCGTGTTTTGACACCATATTTGACTCAAAGGTAAGTAATAGCATGTAAAAGTAAGCAGTTAGTTGACAACAACACCGCAAGTATGCTGATGATAGCAATAGTACGCGTTAAGGACACAATAATAGATGGCTGGGGTGGAGAAACTAGTAGGTTGAGCCAATCACAACTCCAGAATCACACCTCATGACGCACGGCATTGCACACACAGTTCAATCACACACATCAATCAAACCCTCATCAAATCCTCAAATCCCCAAATCAACTCCACCTCTAGACTTGATTTATAAGCAATTTTGTATGGCAGGTTTGATTTGATTGATTTGAGGATTTGGTCACCAAAAGATCAAGATATGCAAAAATGCTTGATAGTTCCCAAGTGTGGACGCCATCGAGCCGATGCAAGCTAGCACAGATGAACTCCTGTGCAGAGCATAGAAAACTAAGAGGCAACAAATCTTGGTTGAAGCAGCGTCAATTTGAGAGGGGCAAGGTCAGGTATGGAAAGGAAGATCAGAACCAATTATCTCTGGATGTTGGTACAGTGCCGTCACAGGTCTCCAAACACCATGTATGATGTAATGAAAGGGGCGATAGCAATAGGTCGTGCAATAATTCGTGTCGGATGATGTGTTGGATGATCTCATCAACCCCGCTTTCAACACCAAGCCAGCATCAACTCAATTATTTCTCCTATAGTAAAACTCCACCAAATTTTTATATTTTACTACAATTCTTGAAGCAATGGAATTGCCAAATACTCCTAAACAAGATGCTGTGCTCAAGGAACTTGATACAGAAGAGCGGGCATCATACAAGTACCATGTAGAGCACAGGCGCAATGATGAGACTATGTGTCACGGTATCCTCTCCAGATCCCCTGACAATATCCGGATCCGCTCCGTACTGTCCCTGACCGTACGCACCAAATCCCCAGCGTCCTTACACACCTCCGAAGCGGACGTACAACCTCTGGTCACCTCTGGAGCGGGCCTGCAACCTCCAAAGCGGGAGTATTAGGATTCTGCAAGCCCTGCTCCGGGACTTGCAACCCCAATACCTATCCAACTCAGTTCCGATTATTAACCGGTAACCGAACAAACCCACACGTAAGTATATAGACTATTGCTGGTAGAGTTCTATTTGGTACACAACGTCTTGTACCTACTTAGATACCGTACGTAGTAATTGATTTAGACTCCCAGTGAGTCCTAAAGGGCCTACTTGTAGCATCTTCGTGACACTATGGAGGATGTGGCTAAGGCACACGGCATCAGCACACATACAGGAGAACGATGGAGGAAGGAATTTGCCCACTTTGGCAATTGCAGGCGTGTAAGGAAGAAGAAGGCAAAGGAAAAAGGCACAAAGTTGGGCAGGAAATGGACAACTGCTCTTGAAAAGATGAAGCAGTTAGTGGATAAAGAAGATCACGATCGTGAAGCTCCTCTACCTGTTCAGGCAGCACAAGTTGGTGGAATCCATCTTGCTCCACGCTCTCTTCAATACAATTTGAGCAAAAGATTGGATGCTCATCTGTATGTGGCTGCTACTACAGAAAGCATCTCTACAAAGAACAAAGATGAGCAGGTTCAGTATGGTTTCTTCCATCAACACCACACTATCATGAACTACTGGCAATGGACACACTTTACCAATGAAGCTCACTTCAATCCAACTGAACAATTTCAACAAAAGCGTATCCTCCGACGCTTCAAGAAGCGTACACATCCTGCCAATCTTTGAACCAAAACAGGAAAGAAGAAGAGTAACCTTACCCTGCATATGTACGCCTTGATAAACTGGTGGAGAAAGAGCAAGTTAGGATTCTATAACGATGAGAAAGATATGTTGAAGCCTCCAAAGCCACCAAGGAAGCCTGTAAAGTCAAAGTATATAACTCAGGAGGAGTATGATGAAGAGATGAAGCAATGGGAAGCAAAAAAGCCACCACCATTTGAAGGAGAGTCTTCCGGTCATTCTATGACACAGGAGTACTACACCAAACACATCCTCCCTGACTACATTGCTATGATTCATCACTGTCGATGCTTACCTTGGAGTGAAGGAGAGCATCCCTGGATGCTACAAGAGGATGGGGATTCATCTCATGGGAAGAAGTCTTCCAATGTCACGGTATCCTCTCCAGATCCCCTGACAATATCCGGATCTGCTCTGTACTGTCCCTGACCGTACGCACCAAATCCCCAGCGTCCTTACACACCTCCGAAGCGGACATACAACCTCTGGTCACCTCCAGAGCGGGCCTGCAACCTCCAAAGCGGGAGTATTAGGATTCTGCAAGCCCCGCTCCAGGACTTGCAACCCCGATACCTATCCAACTCAGTTCCGATTATTAACCGGTAACCAAACAAACCCACATGTAAGTATATAGACTATTGCTGGTAGAGTTCTGTTTGGTACACAACGTCTTGTACCTACTTAGATACCATACGTAGTAATTGATTTAGACTCCCAGCGAGTCCTAAAGGGCCTACTCATAGCATCTTCGTGACAAGTTGACCCATCCGCACACACGCTTGCGAGTAATGTTACCCACTCACGATTGCCATCTTGGAGTGATTCTCTACTCCTCCCTTGTTGCCATGTTTGCTTAGAGAAGATCCGCTTGCTCTTGCCTGTCAGGCCAATTGCAAAGCCTTTCTCATCCATATTGTATGTGTGCCGTGGCTCGATGTTGTATTGGGTTGTAACGACGCAGGCCAGTAGGGAAGATGTCCAAAGTAAGTGTGAGTCCACTACGAGGCATATGGGAGTGCTGGGACGTTGAGAACACTAGGATTGAATTCCCTACACCTATAGGTCTTGTACAAAAGGATACAGAAAAACTACTCTATCTAACGACTGTGCCAAACTGATTAAGTACACAGTTTGGAGGGGAATTGGAACTACCCATGTCTAGGTGACACGGAAGTAGTTAGCGACAGGAAAGAGAGCGGTGTGCTGAGTCCCTGCGGGACTACACGTTATCAGAGTGCTTTTGGTCCAAGGCGTTACATGGGTGATCTTCTGCTGCAGAATATCAAAGTACTTGGTGTACTTTTTGAGAGAATCGGCAGCGTGCCGCTGTGCATCCATACTTGTGGTCCATTGTGATGATATTCGATCAGAGTGCCGGTGAAGGAAGTCAGTAATCCAGCTCTCGGAAACCTTGTTGTGAGCAAGCGCAAAGGCAAAATTTGCTACCATTTGACGCGTAAGAGGTAGGTGACGATCTGTAAGCTCTTCGATATACTTCACAAGGTACAACTCCTGTTGTGGGTGGAGTAACCGGCGATCTGTGTTGGCATCTTCCTGGGATTGCTGCACACCTCGGTGGTGCCTTGACAACGTTACGCGATTAACACAATGAATTTTTGCAATTTCTGTATATGTAAAATTTTTGCCAGGCTTTAATTGACAAATCTGCATAAGTGCATCATGAATTCCAGGCATGGTTGTGGTGTAGTTGACGTGTCAAAATGTGACTATTGTTGTTGCCTGGTCGTTGTACCAACATGATCGTTGTGCGCACAGACACAGTACCTAAGCTGCTCAAGTGCTTGGCTCACCCGCTCGCTACGTCAGCCTCAGGATGGAATACGTCGTACCTACCACCTTATACGTGGAGTTGCCGAGATCCAGTGCTGAACGCGTATATAAATAAATGCCTTTGATACGTCGCATCTGAAGCAAAATCCCAGAGTTACATCTCTGCAATCAAAACGATTCTGTCGTTTCACTCAGCCGGTTCAAACCCGTTAGTCGCTGTAAACACCTGTCGCTATGGCAAGAGATGAGGCTGTCCGGTCACTCCGCATCTCTCAGATGATTTTCACTTGCTTAATGTCGGTCTAGTGTGTTATCGTAAGTCTCCGACCTACACCGATTCCAGGATCGTCTCTTAATGACGACCAAATAGTGTTACAGCATTCCACTCAGATCGCACAGCGCGATGTGTCAACAGCATTGGCCATATACCTCATCGCAGCGTCTACAAGTACAAGCAAGCTCTCCAGGAATTGTATGTGTCCCAATACTATGGGTGATTGCGCACTGACGAGAAATATACAGCATCAAAGATGGTCCTCGCTCTTGCGATCGATTGGCTGGTGGCTTTCATGAATCTGGTCGCTCTTCTATCCGTTCCGATGTTCGTGACGAGATCGCAACACTGCTATGGGGCTACATGCGCCATCATGAAGATTGTTGAAGTGAAAAAGTTTTTTTTTGTAGTTCTAGAGTGGGATACAGCACTAAGTACTCTGTTTACCTGTGTTGCGGTATCAGACTGCTGCAATATATGTAAGCCCAGGGCACTACACATGTCATGTGGTCTATCCACTGACTAATCAGTCCGCTACTCCATGTACATACCCCGCATCTGGGACACATCAATAGACAGGAGATATACCATATATACAACAATATACATCATCTCGACACCACTCCTACCACAAGCTTATAATATACATTGCACATGAGCTTCAATACACACGGTTGTAACGGGTCATGTTTAGCACGTTTCAAGCCATGTATATATCGCCACCTCCTAGCTAGATATCAACATAGCGCAGTATTCCATCAACCCGATAGTCCTACGTTATCGTTTACCGTAGCTATCAATATTCTACAGTGGCCGTTGCCGCTACAACCTGCCATATGTTACTTCCATAACTGAGGTCCTCGCAGCAGTTGCTGCGTCTCATTGCCCAAGTAGCACCTGCTCTCAATAAAGATCAGTACAGTACTTACTACCTCCAATTTCACGAACTGGGCGGCTACTGCAACAGTTTGGGGAATTCGAATCTCAAAGTCTACGGCCAACGTCGAAACACTTCTGCCTCCAATGGACGAGGAGATACCTTAAACAGGGGCGGCATATTACTTTTGACGAAGTGGAACTCAACTCTGATGGATCATTTCGCATAGATGTTTAGCCAGTAAAGTCAAACAATGCAAGTATGTTTAACCTTATCAAGAACACTTTGTTCGGCGAAAGCCCGCAGCTCAGACCTAGGAACTGACGCACGGCAACAGATGAAGGACCTCTATTTACGCCACAAAACATCACATCTGAGGCGCTGCTGCTAGATCGCCTCCGTGATATTCTGCCTGAGTTCAGCGCAGACAACCTCGCTAATGTACTACATCACTATCCCATCACAGATGACACGAGCGGTGTCAAATTCACAACCACTGGTACCTCGGAACCCAGTGCATTGGATCAAAGCGCGTTTGCCACCGGTCAGCAGTAGCGCGCAAACGTATGTCAAATCTTGCTTGTAAGAGCTCAAGTTCACTATCCTGACCTACCCACAGAACATATACGCTGAGCTCACCTTCGTTTGTCCATCATACTGGATGGCTGAAGCATTCTCCGGCAAAGGGCGCTCATCGCACAAATACCAGTACAGCGCCGCCCCAGGTACATACGGGATCGATACTCTGGGATACTTCGGACCCTATGGATCAGTTTCCTTCCTTAGCGAAAACTTCCAAACTGCCTTTATGAGTACGTACTCCTGATATTTGATGGCTCCTGATCCACTGTACTAATGGTTGAAATAAGACATTTGAGGCAATTTCGTCACGCAAGAGAATCCCTCCATCCCAGAATCCCTTCTCTTTGGATCTTCTAACTCATCGACGCGATCGGGAGTAAACATCTCATCTGAGTGGCCTCAGTTCTCAGCCTCCACCTCTTACCAGCAGCTGAATCTCAACCAGACGGGTGGCGTTCTAACAGAGGGCAGTGTCGAGGTCGCCTCACCTGTGAACACGACTTACTTGATCGGCCCGGGTCTCCAGAATGACTTCGCATTTGTAGATGCTTACACCTGGGAAGCTGGTCGTGGTGCTAGATGCGAGTTTTGGAGGAGCACTGCAAAGTCGACTCCCGCGTAAACAGACTACTATGTGTGAGGCTGTTAGACATGATGGTACTGCAACAGGCGAGAAACGACAGCCTGTTGCCGTGCAAAGACACACCTGCGAGTCGCAGACAAGTAAGCCAGGCCCTATCTGTCACGGTATCAATCGGTCCGTACAAGGCCCAGTTACCCTTGGTTGGACTGTTATGGACTAGCACGTTCCAGGGACAGTATATATCGTCTCCTCCTAGCTAGATAGCAATTCAGCGCATTATTCCATCGACCCGATAGTCCTACATTATCGTTTACCGTAGCTATCAGTATTCTACAGCGGTCCACACCGCTACACTATCGATTGATCAAGTGGACCTTTCTTCTCTTCCGAGTGGTTTTTGGAATTGCACCTACTTATACTCCACTTCTGTGGGGTTATCTTTCCAGGAAAACCCTGATATCAACACATACAATGCACACATGACTTGCATGAATAATTCAGGAGTTTGAGTAGCTACAAAATTTACCTGACTTGGAAAAAGTGTTCCAAAATCCCTAAAATATGCTGGTGTCGGAAATATACAAGCATAGTTTAGATGCTGCTGTAGCATATACAATGCATCCTGAACGTGCTGCGGTTTACTTACGCTTATACATCGTGATAGTTGTGACCTTGTTCAGCGTCCCTTCTATCCTACGCAACTCCTACCTGATCTCGAAGATCTTAGCGTTGTCTTCGTGAGTTACAAAACCCTCCCTCCTAGAGAGAAATGCCAGAAAACCTAACAAGTTAAGGCAGTAAGCCTTTGTATGGCAAATATTCAGGACTTTTATCTCTTAGTTCAATTGAATCACTCTGTAAACCTTTGGTTTCTGTGTTATTTGATCCGAACATCGCCTATCTCGATACAGCTATGTGTTTCCATAGTATCAAAGCCGTTCAGAAACCCATGCACATCAGCTAATTCGAGGAAACAGCCTACAACACACACTAGGAAACCAATGGCGATCATTGAGCGCAATAGGGGAGGGCGCGTAAAACTTATCTGACCCACCTTCCAACTCTTCTCCCGCGACGTAGCCTTTGCTTAGCCATGGGGTTACCGTGCTAGCCTTTCGACCGGCGTGTGCAAGCTGAATACCGATCTTCTGGCTCTTAGAATGAGCGAATTCAACAATTTTCCGCAGTGGCTCCATCTGAGAATCTTTCCAGAGACCGCAGTCCTGAGGTGTAATGCGGCCTTCAGGCTAGACAGCAGTCGCCTCTACAAACGTCAGATCACGACCTCGCTAGATGATACCAGCAAGATGTCCAAAGTGCCATGCTGTCTGATGATCATCTTCGGCTGAGTACTGGCAAAGCGGAGACAGCACTATTCGATTCTGGATCTCAAGTCCTCAAAGCTTGAGTGGTGTAAAAAGCCTCGGAATTCTTCGGCTGCCGTCCAGCATTCCAAGTGCGGTTCCGGCTGGTGAACTTTGATCAGGAGTAAGGTACAGAACCTGTATGTCTCAGCTCATCATGTCAGATCAGTTGGAAGTATATTATACTCCAGACGCAGCTTTATATCGAGTGAGGAGAAAGAATTCAAGAGAAAAGGATCATTGATTGATACTGGGGCTAGCCCTCTACTTATACATCAGTGATATATGGGTCATGTGACCTATATTTCACCCCTTCAACACTTCATTGACCAGTCGGTGGCTGTGTGGTTAATCCATTGAAGTATGGAGCATTGCAGGCCCTGTTGCCAACATGGTGGAGAATATATCAGGTACGTGCGTGAAGAACTGAACACTCGTGAATGTGGTTTTTGGAACTGTGCTATAGCTTTTCCACAGACCCAATAGCGACCGGCCTGTCTTTAAATGTATCTAGTATATTGCGGACGTAGCGAGCGTTTTTGCGTCGTTCCTTAACAGGACCATCTGGGCTGTTTGATTTGTAAGCTCGCAACGATACAGGACACTATTTGTCATATTGGCAGGTATGATTCACTATCAAGCGTACGCTGTTCTTCTCTTGGTTTTCGTAGAACTATGGGCCAACACCATCAGTTTTCCCAACAATTACCAAACATTCACTTATAGGCGTGACAAGTCTACAGTCCATCACTGACGTCATGGTGCAGGCTCCGAGCTTGGATGCAAAGCCGGACTCTGACACTATCAAAAAAGTCAGTTAAGCCCTGGGTGTAATTTCAGCAAAGTTTTGTGAAAATACGGGGTTCAGATGGCCAAGTGGTGCGATGATCAAGACACGCCGTTGTGGAGGACAGTGAAACTTGCCCACCAACTCTCTTGTCATAGCTTCATGTACGTTGATCTTTCTCTTGGGGCCTGCGTAAGCTAGGGCGCTTTGTGCCTCACATAGCGCAGTTCGATAGGGTTGGTGTGAATATCGTCAATTCTCTGTCGTAGCAAGAGTGTGGAAATTAGTCCAGATGCTGCACTTCTGCACGCTCCGACACACTCTGTTCCTCGGTGAGGGACCGATGCATTATGCGGAGTCTTGCTAGGTGGCTGGCATGCATCTCCTTGTGACTATACGACAGACTCTCAGAGACAAGAGACTCATACGGCCATTACGATCACGTGAATCATACCTGAAATACGTCGTATTCCTCAATACGCGCATAAGCTGGCCGACACGCAGCCGAGCTCACTATACCCTTCCTTGAGCTTGGTAAGCAATATCTGTGTCACTCACCGCTTCTTAATGCTAGTGCCAATGGCTGGGACGTGCAATTCTCGGACGACGCTCCAGAAGTGGACGCATACGTCCTCTAATTGCGTTGTCCAGTAAGTTCATTATGCGTCATCGAGACTGAGTAGAAAGCCCGTATTAACTTGTGTGATATCAGCAAAGGCCGTCAATAGTCTTATGCACACGTAAAGTGCAGAACCCTTGACACTTCTACAGTGCGCTTCGATATGCACGTCAGGACTCACGAGAGTAGCCAAGCCTGTCTTCAAGTCATCAAACAGTAGGTTCGTGTCAGCCGGATTTGAGAAGACAAAGTAGCGCTTCTAACCCCAAGCCGCTAGGAATGAGGGGAAATCTTGCTGGCATCTGCGCTTTACCAGAATAGTAGACCTACCGAGACTATACCAGCCCTGGCAAGATCTTCGCTTCAAAACTAGCTGTACGTAAACAAACAGTACGACTAATTCTCATATGAGCTAATGTACGCGTTCTGTCCTCAGTGACATGCAGTGACTTGATGCTTGCCCCGCTATTTGAATAAGCTCGCTTAGCTACGCGGTTGAGAGATTTCCTAGTAACAGTTCGTGGGTGATGTCATTGCCGCCACATAATCGACCTCGAAAGGGCGCTCTTACTACATCTATGCACTCAAGGCCGAACCGAAGCAGGTTAGATTACGCGGGGAAATCCACCCCAGAGATTAAGAGAGTCTAGACTAGCCCACCAGTTCTTACTATGCGAAGTTCGTGTGGCACTGACCTAGCGTCTCCTCATATCGGCTCATGTTGAGTCAGCTATGGCAGATACTCAGAAGCTTGGTTGAACTGAGACGGTTAAAAACAGTGCGAGCTACTGGGTCGTTCTGCGCTCTACGATTCGACAGACATGTTGGGCCATTGGCATCGTATCCAAGGCTAAGTACCTACCTAGTTCTGATGTGTATCCCCGCTCCTCAGTGTCTCCGCACGACTGCCGACTCAACTCGGCGTAGTGTTGCACGGAAAGTTGCGAAAGACCATAGATTCTCCTCCGGGTTCAAGTACTTAAGAGAATGACTTGATCCTCCTTAGCAAAGTCTGATCTACACTCGGAAACAACAAGAGCCCCGTATCAGCCCACATCTAGCGTCGAACATGCATACTGCAATCGCGCCGAGTTTTGTGTGTGTCCTCACTGCCCTGCAATACGTGTCGGCTATTGATGTGCCATTGAAGGCTCCCCTTTGTAAGCAGCTGCAAACTGTCTGTTTAAAAGATTGACTCACCAACGGCGAACGTATAGCATGGGATGAAGCATCAGAGAAGGCCAGGAACTTCGTCTCTCAGCTCAAACTATCAGAGAAGATCGGCCTTGCAACCGGCAGTTATGGCTCCCCTCCGTTCCTACCATGTGTAGGTACGCTCGCGCCGATCGAACGACTCAACTACTCTGGATTATGCATGTCCGATGGTCCAAACGGGGTCAACCGAGCGGATGGAGTGAGTGTGTTTGCATCCGGTATCACTGTGGCGGCGACGTGGGATAGACGTCTAATGCACGAACGAGGATTGGCCCTTGGAGAGGAGTTCAGGATGAAAGGCATACACGTTCTATTAGGGTATGAACACCCTAGGTCCGATACGTCAATTTCTTGAACTCACAAAGGCGTAGACCTAGTACTGGACCTATGGGCCGCCACCCTCGAGGCGGTCGCAATTGGGAAGGATTTGGCCCAGATCCGTACCTCGCTGGTGTCGCTATGAGCGAGTCAGTGTCCGGTATAGTAGCGAATGGTGTTCAGACAAGCTCAAAGCATTACATTGGCAATGAGCAAGAAACACAACGCGTGCCTAGTACCAGAGATGATGGGACAGTCATTGAAGCGATCTCTGCAAATATCGACGACCGGACACTTCACGAGCTTTATCTCTGGCCATTCGCCAATGCTATCCGAGCTGGAACATCATCTGTCATGTGCGCCTACAGTCGCCTGAACCAGACGTACTCCTGTGCAAACTCAGAGATTCTGAAAGCGATTCTCAAAGACGAATTGGCTTTCCCTGGCTACGTAGTCTCCGACTGGGGCGCTACGCACTCTACAGTAAACTTTGCGGAAGCAGGTTTAGACCTCGAGATGCCGGGAAATGTCACTGGAAGTGGTATTCCATGCTATTTTGGCGACGAGCTGCTTGAAGCAGTCCAAGCGAACAACGTATCGACGAAACGTCTTGATGACATGGCAACGAGAGTTATGACGCCCTATTTCCGACTCAATCAAGACATGGATTTCCCCGCGATGGACCCTGCTACTGGGCCCACGTTCCTTGTTACTCAGTTTGGCCATGGATCGCCCTTAGCAAGAGCGTATGCTGAAGTACCAGCTCTAGACGTTCGCGCCGATCATGCCCGCGGTATCCGCGAGCTGGGTGCAGCTGGCACAGTGTTGCTGAAGAATGTCAATGGCGCACTGCCGTTGACAAACGAAACTAGCTTCGCGCTCTTTGGAAACGGTCTTCCCGATCCAACAATTGGATCAGCTTTCGTCCCTCCACGCGCTGAAGACGTCCCAGAGGGTTTCGAAATGGGTGCGCTTGACATTGGCGGCGGATCTGGCTCTATGCGACACACCAATCTCGTAAGCCCACTCGAAGCCATACGGAACAAAGTGAACGCTCTTGGTGGCCGAGTACAATTGCTGCTTGACAACAATGAGATTGCAGCGGGGCGTTTTTCGACTATCTATCCAACACCCCAAGTCTGCTTACTGTTCCTGAAGGCCTATGCATCGGAAGGCACTGACAGACCGGATCTGAATCTCCAGTGGAACGCTACGATGGCCGTCGAAAGCACGGCAGCACTGTGCCCAAATACTATCGTGGTGACACACGGTCCTGGCGTAGTTTTGATGCCGTGGGCAAATAATGAGAATGTGACGGCTATCTTAGCTGCGCACTATCCAGGAGAAGAAATTGGAAACTCTATCACTGACGTCCTCTGGGGAACTGTCGAGCCTTCTGGCCGGCTACCCTATTCCATTCCCATGGAAGAATCAGACGCCGGCCCTCCGATTCTTATATTACCCGAGAATACAACAAATCCAAGTGCATGGACGGAGGACTTCGTTGAGGGTCAGATGATTGATTACAGATACTTCGACGCGAGCCCCGGCCAAGAACCGCTCTATGAGTTTGGTTTCGGGCTTTCATACACCGAGTTTGAAATGGGAGAGAGTCTAAACGCGCGACTTGTCGTTGACTCGTTGAATCGGTATGCCAACAAGTCCATGGGTATCGAACCAGGAGGTTTGGTCGATCTGTGGACCAATGTAGCTGTGGTAACAGTGAACATCACGAACTCGGGCCACAGAGCAGGTGCCGCTGTACCCCAGGTTTACGTGTCACTTCCTCAAGATACGACACCCCAAGGCACGCCTGTGAAGGTGCTAAGAGGATTCAGCAAGCTATATCTCCAGCCAGGTGAGACACAGCAGGCCAAGTGGGAGCTCATGAGGAGAGACCTGAGCTATTGGGACGTAGAGGAGAGAGAGTGGGTCATTCCGAGAGGATCCATATATCTGTCATCAGGGTTCAGCTCCGCAGACTTGCGAGCAAACACAATGATAACAAATGGTTAATGCAGAACTATAGTTTCACGATGCATGAAGTCACAACTCAATCGAACACTAGAGTCGGAAATTCAATTGCACATAGTATCCCATCATTGAATGTATTTTGACTATGTCGTGGACGCATCCAGTACTTCGACCACAGGCGTGTTGATGCCGAGCACAAAAGCGCATGTCTGAGTAACCACGGATTACGCAGAAGTGCAGAGTGTCATATCCGAAAGGGACTGTTTACGAGCCAGGGCCACTTGATTCTTAAGGAGAAACATATGAATGGGTAGCTGCATATGCGTGTTGATGGGGAGAGCACAGCGAAGAGTCATGCTGAAGAGGCTGCAGAATAGATGCATTACATGTACAAAGCGTTGATCGTTGCCAAGACTGTGCTGAGGTTCTTCCACAAGGGAAACTTGGTATCCAGGGCCGCTTTGTGTGTTACTTTCCATGCAAGTCACCGGAAGAGACATCCGGCAAATCAACACCCTGGACCACAGGGACGTCTACAAGCCTGATGGTTCGACCCAGAGTCCAACTCTCAATACCAGCCTCCTCGAGCCAGTCAGTGGCGTTGACGTGAAGGACAAAAGGCATATGGTCCGTTATGATTCCTCTAGCTATTGCTACATTATCGAGCGTCAATGCCCAAAATGCCATGCTGTCTGATGATAATCTTCGGCGGAGTATTGGCAAAGAGGCGAAAGTATAATTCGACTCTAAATTTCAAGTCCTCAAAGCAAATAGCTTCGAAGTCTTGAGACCACCGTCGGCCATTCCAAGCGCGGTTCCTGCTGGATCCTTCTCAGGGATGGAATACGAAGTCTAAGAACTTCGATGATTGCGAAGAGCACATGAGAACACAACTCACGCCAGACGTAGCTTGGTTTACCAGTCAGTGTTCCTCTGGTATATGGATCATCGTAAATTGAGACATTTTTCGCAAGAAGCTGGCGGCTGTCAATAGAGTGTCTCAATGGCAACAGTCCGGGCTAGATATAGCTGTGAATATGGATCTTGTCGAGGCGGATTTGCGAGCTTTGTGGGGGCTAGCATAGTAGCCAACATCCAACAGTCAAGTGAATGTCCATTAAGAGCCCCGACGTCAGTCTTCAAAAAGACAGCCTCGAAGACTATTTCGGCTATCTTTAAGGAACTCTGGAGTCAATATAGGTTGAGGCCATACGGTGGCACGTCAGCCCAACATTGTAGCGGCGTGGGCCGCTGTAGAATACTGATAGCTACGATAAAAGATAACGTAGGACTATCGGGTCGATGGAATACTGCGCTGAGTTGCTATCTAGTGAGGAGAAGATGACTATATACTGACTCTGGAACGTGCTAATCCAGTACAGTCTAAGTAAGGGCAATAGGGTCTCGTATGGACCAACTAATACCGCAACAAACATTAACCAGAGTGAGAATCAACTGAGAGACTCATCTTTCACAGTCTCACTGCAGAGGCGTAGTTGACTGGTCTTGCTCCAGGCGCGATGTGTCAAAGGCATCCATGTACGCATTGAACGGCAAATGTCAGCGATCCTACGGTGGACCGTTACGGACAAAGTGGACAAAACCAAAACTCAACCTCAGAACATCATATCAAAATACTACAAAGTCAGAATTTCAGCACATGGTAGTGCAATGTGTGTGAAGCAATGTAATAGTCCTTGTAATGATACAATATAATACAATCGTCATTTGTGAGGTAGTGATTGTGAAGTTGATGTGCTCCAAAGCCCACCAAACTTATCCTCAATCACGCTTGTCAGCAAACTCCTTCTCTTTGCCTGGAGGCAGGTACTTCTTCCTTCCATCTCTCCAAGCCTGTAATCTATCAAGGTACCACTCATCAACAAAGTTCTTGTAGCTACTGTACTAAGGCATTAATCTGTTTGCAGCGCATGGGCCAAACCCCAACCACCGCAAATGCAATGATGTAATGGTACTGAAGATAATCGGTATTGGGCAATGGATATTGAGGTTCACTGAAGTTGTATTGTACTCAAGCCGTGTGGTTATATACTGTGAATGAACGGAAAGAAGAACTGACCATGAAGCTGTTATGTTACTGATACTGTTTGAAGGAGTCTGGTCCAGTTGGTCCTTTTACACAACCTCATACAGTGCTGTAACATGACCTCTTATTGTACTGCGACACACCCCCCAGGTCTAACAAGGAAACAAGTGTGAAATGATGATAGCTTGACAAAGTTGAGTCATTGGAGCTGTAACAGAGTAATTGGGTCATTGTTGTAATGGCCAAATTGAAATCAGATAGATCAATTTGTGTTAAAACCGGTTAGGAAATAGGATATTAGGATCCTTTGTGTCGATTGCCTTCTGCTTGAGAGCATTGAGTTGTTGTTTGATATCAATGAGTCCACACTGATGGACAAATTGCTTGAACTTCTGATGGGGCAATGCCTTTGTGAGTCCATCGGCTGGCATGTTGTTGGTAGAAACCCAGGACACATTGAGTTGACCAGCTAAGACTTCCTGTCAAACCCATAGCTGATGGATATCAACATGTTTGACTTTGGTATTAAGTTGATCTTCCTTCTTTGTGACTATACCAATGGTTTGCTGGATATCACATAGAATTGTTGGTGTTGAATTAAGATAGAGTGATATCCCCTTGAAGAAGCGCATCCACTCAATCATCTGAGACCCTGCAAGTGACAGTGAGAGCAGCTCAGACTCAGTGGTTGATTTGGTGACAGTACATTGGACTGTTGATTTCCAGTCAATCATGAGACCTCCAAAGAAGAAAGCATATCCTTGTGAGCTTTGTCGAGTCTCTGGTTCATCAGCATAAGATGCATCTGAAGCTCCATAAAACAGTGGTTGGTTGATTGGTTCATCAGTGTGGTATTCTCTCATCTCAGGTTCCAATGTATTTGCTAAAGATGAGGCTGGAGAGCAAGTGTTTTTGTCCCAAGTAGGTAGAGCCAAACCTTTCTTGCCTTAGCAACATGTTTCTGGCCTGGGTTGATGAGATGGGAAACTAATATAACATGAGATCGAGCAACATCAGGTCTGCCCTATACAGCAATATAGGCAAGGGAACCAACAAGCTGTTGGTAGAGCTTTGTGCGTTCTTTGTTTGGTTCTTCATCTGATGGATCCAGCCAGTTGTCAGTGATTGGAGTGTCCAGGAATCGGCTGGTTGGTGGTGTCTCAATATTGAATCAAGAGCAGACCTTCTCAATGTAGGCATCCTGAATTAGCCAAGTATGTTGACTTGAACGGTCTCAAACAATACGTATACCAAGAAACCAAGCAAGGTCTTCCATCTTCTTGAGGTTGTACAGTTCCATGAGACATTTTTCGAACTGTTGATAGAGTTGGCTATTGGAGTTGTGAAAAGCCATCACAATATCATCAACGTACATGAATAGGATGAGCAATCGATTGGTGTAAAGGTGGGGGAAGCCTTTGACTGGTTTTAAGCCTAGCTTGATGAGTTCTTTATGGCATTTGTTGTACCAAAGCAATGGAGATTCCTTGAGGCCATATAAAGCTCTTTGAACAGCAAGCAACTTCCCCAGGCCATTCTCGATCTGATTGACTCCCTCTAGAGTGATTGCATACAGTTCTCAATTTATTGGAACATTTAAAAAAGCTACTGGTACATCGTACTGTTTCAGTTCAAGGTTGAAGTGATTGGCAATTGAGATAAGGGCTCGGAAGTTTTGAATTGCCAGTGTTGCAGCATAGGTATCATCCAGTGGTGACTGTAAGTCTCCTCGGACTACTAGTCGAGCTTTGAAGCGTATAATAAAGCCATCTTCATCTGTTTTGTAAGTGAATACCCACATGAGGGGTAGAACCTCAGCCTTGACAGTCTCTTGAGTTTTCTCTGTTTGTTGGAAACAGCCTTTCAATCAAAGGTTCTTCCATTCAATTGACATAATGGCTCTGAACTCTTGACTGAATGGATGAGAGTCAAGCTGTTTGACATGCTTTGGAGGTAGTGGTGCTTGACTGACATGAATACGGGTATTGCCAACAGACTATTGTTGTTTGAGAACCTGGGATGTGAAGGCACTGAAGTAATGAGTTTTTGATTCATCACTGAGCTTCGAAACAAAAGAAGCAACTGTAAAGAATGTTCCAGGTTGCCGTCTTGTGCGCTTGCCTTTGATAATGGCACTTTGATCAATATCAAGATTGATATTATTGGGAGCTGTTTCACCATAACGTCGATAGCCTTCTGATGGTGGATTTCCTTGATTTGGTTGAATGAGAGGTCCTCTGAGACCAGTTGATCCTCGTGGGTGACATTGTTGTCCTTGTGTTGACAGTGAGCCACGATGTGTTGACAGTGTTGCAGGGGAGGATGATTCTGGTTGATTCAACTGAGTCTCACTGGGTTGAGTCTCCTCATCAGTGACTTCTTGTTCAAGTGACTGTTAAATGTCAAATTCGTTGATCAGGGGGATATCTGGGTATAGAATGTTGCCTTGGTTTATTGGAGATTCAAACTCATCTTTATTCTGAGAATTTTGAGATGTGTTGTCCTGTGGGACCATGACTGCTTCATCATCGGCTTGTGCTGATGGAGATAGAGTGAGGAGTTGATTGTTGATTAAGCCAAAGTCTTGGATGTTTTGTAGAGGTGTTTGTACACCCCCAACGTGAGAAGCATCTTGAGCTAACTCAGGTGTACTATGAGTTTGTTGAAGGAGTTATAGTTCTTTGATTGTATGATACTGATTGGCTTGAGTGTGTGGATAAGCAATTGTTGTGACTATCTCTTGCAATACGTCATTTGTAACGTAACCTTCATAGCCTTCAAAGAACTGAGAAGGTTCAAATATAACATCTTGAGTGACCAGAATCTCATCAGTGGCAGGTAACCAGATCCGGAAGATGTTTGTGCCTTGATATCCAATGAGGTGACCAATAAGGGCTCTTGATTCAAGCTTGTCTGCATTTCTAACTACTAGTCAATATCCGTATAGACCCTATACAATTTTACCCGGCGCTAGCAGGACCCCTGCGCCTGACCC